CGTCCCGCCGCTGGTGGGAGCAGTTCGTCCAGGATGTCCCCGTCGAGCTTCTGGAAGGTACTCCCCTCCTTCCTTCAGATTTCCTCCCTCGCCTCTCGGACGCTTCTCATCCATAATCCCTCCATTATGCAGACATCTGCCACCAGATCCTGGATCTGTACTCCCAGGGAAACAAGCCCATCCCTCAGCAGATCCAGGAGAAAGAGCGCGCGCCGGCTACTCCCACGACTCTTCCCCCAGTCCCACCGGGGCAGCCCCAGGCCACCAACCCGCCGCCCCCTCCGCCCAAGAAGGCCTCTCCTCAGGTTGGCAGCCCGGCACGCCAGCTCAAACGCTCGCATGTAAGCTAGCTAACAGAGAAGAGAAGACTTTAAAAATATGAAGAAATGACTTCTATTAATGTCGGCCTTGTGTCTGTTTTTGTCCCAGACTTCTCCAAAGGAGGAACCCAAACCTCCAGGTATTCTGCTTTTTATATGTCGCAGTACAACATTGTTTTAAATTTTTTGTGATTTTGTGAAATTACACCTACGAACACAAAAGTATAAAGTCCATAAATGTTAAGAGGGAGGACAATAATACCTTGTTTATTAGATTTGTAGGACCACCTGTCCCTATAAACACTAAATCCAGCTCTTTCCGATTGGGTGAAAACAACCTTCAGCATCAGTTTTCAAGTCTCACTAATTATATTTACTTTTGGACTGCCATCATTAATCATTAATGTTAGTCATTAATGACTGCTGTTATTATTATAAATATAGTTAGTCAACACAATTTTTATTTCTTTTTTATTTTTTTTTGCTTAGCAAAAGTTACTGCAGTTTGCTTTCCCCCAAAGTGCAGTGTGTGTGCACAGAGTCCCCTCGATCCAGTGTGTGTGTGTGTGTGTGTGCGTGCGTGCGTGTGTGTGTGTGCACAGAGTCCCCTTGATCCAGTGTGTGTGTGTGTGTGTGTGTGTGTGTGTGCCTGTCACTGGCTGCCTGCATCTGGGAAAAAAATGAGAGAACTTCAACATAGTCAATGACTGGTACCGTTAATAAATTCCAATTATTTTAATAAAGTAGCATTTCTCATTATATTTCAGCTAAAATATGTAGCTGAAAGTTGTTTTTTCTTTGGAGCTGATTCCTATTTTTGTCTAAATGCTTCAGCTTTTTTAAAAATTAATTTTCTTTTATGCCTAAAAGCCAATGTAGTTTTTTATTTGTCTTTATGCTGGAAGTGATGCAAAAAAACCCCAAGCAATTTGGAAAATAAAATAAAATAAACTAGCTTTGTTTTTGGGGGTAAAAAAAATTACAGGGTAGTAGTCCTTGTCTGGACTTTGACTGGTCCATTAGAAACACATTATTTTCACTCTGATATAAACCACTTTATTGTTGCTCTGACTTTATGTTTCAGCTCATTGTGCTTGGAGGGTGAACCTCCACCGCAGTCTGAAATGCTTTGCAGACCCTAACAGTTTTCCTTCTTGGGTTGACCTGCGTTTAGCTGCAACCGTCCTCCATTAGACTCTGACAAGCAGCTGAAGAAAAGAATCCCCACAGCATGATGCAGCCACCATCTTTGTTTCTACCGTGTCCCGGTGGATGTATGTTAGTTGTCTGTCCACAAAGGGTTCGGTGCTTTTGGGGTCAATACTTGCCTGCTACCCTTTTCAAATTGAATCTTCAAAAACAAAGAAAGAAACAACAGAAAAATGTGTGAACAGTTTTATGAAATCCCAATGAGATGCAGTGAACTTTGTTGTTTTAATTTGACAGTATTCAAGTCATTCATTCTTGTTTAACTGTATTAAACCAAACATCACATATTTAATAACTCCCGTAACTCTCTTGACATTTTTGCAGAACAAGCCGGGTCAAAGATCCCCCGACTGGAGAGCCCCATGCCCCCCCTGCCTACGTCCCAGCCTCCCCCAGGTAACCATGGCGACCGCCTGAGTCATGCCCGTCATCTGGGTTTCAGGGCATGGAGTTGAACTTGGGGACACGCTGGCATCCAGGAAAGCCCTGCTGTCTGTGTGCTAGCGCCTCTAAACAGACCTGCTTCATGAGCCGCCAGTTCCCCTGCGGTCACTTCGGGCTCCTGGAGCAGAACACAATTGTTAGCCTGCTTATGTAATCACCTTTCGCCTGGACAAAACGCGAACCACATGCTCCCAATCTCACCCGGAGCGCTCTGAGAGCGTCAGCCGGGGTAATGAGACCTCCTGCATGGCGGTGTTGGCTGATCTTGGCCTCGCTGTGCGTTCCTGTCTGCTAACAGGGAGGTTATTTGGGATCATGTTGGTGGGCGGAGCAGGGCAGGGCGGAGCAGGGCGGGGCCCAGCTGCATCCTCCACCACTGAGATGGCGACTGTTTTTAATCAGGGCTGCAATTAAAGATTACTTTAGTTATTCTGATAGTTCCTCAGATACAAAATCGGCCCGTTCTGAGCCTTTTTGCTTGATATTAGAAATGCATTAATAGATGCAAATAAATAGTTCAATTCCTTTTTTGAATAAGAAAATAAACATTTTTTTGCCATTAAGTGCAACAACATATTCCTTTTGAGAACGCTTTACATCTACATGCGAACACCTGGAGAATTCGAACCAAGCAAAGCAAAAACTGCTATTTGTGGAGTTCTGGGCTAAATACAAATATATGCAAATGTAAACATTTTTTGTACAGTTTTGACTACTTTACTTCTTGGGTTGAGTGAGCAAATTGCCTATTTTGGAGTCTGTTAACGATTAATCGATTGCTAAATTAGTTGATGTTATTTCAATAACTGATTAATTGTGATTAATCTGATTAATTGTTTCAGTCCTGTTAGTTATTTTTCTCTGTTTTTCTCCGTTTCTCCATCCAGCCCCTCCTGCTGAGGCAGAACCAGGAAGCGAAGCTGCTCCTCCGCCTCCACACGCCCCGCCCCGCACCAGCCCCCACCTTTGCCCCATCGCCCTCCTCCGCCCCCGCCCTCCAACTACCTGATGTCCACCACCAGCTCCTACATGTCTGGGGAGGGCTACCAGAGCCTGCAGTCCATGATGAAGACGGAAGGGCCGCCCTACACCCCCATGCCGCCCAGCTACCCGCCACCCATCCCGCCGTACCACCCACACGTCTACCAACCGGCCACGGCGCCGCCTCCAGGTCCTCCACCTCCTCCATCCAGTTACCCACCACCAAGTTTGGCCCCGGCCTACCCTCCACCGGGCTACAACAGCTACCCTCCCCCACCGCCTCCCCGCATGCCCCCAGGCCACGTGCCGCTGCCCGGGATCACGCTTCCCCCTGCCGGGTATCCTCCTCCACCCCCCGTGCCTCCAGGACAGTCCCAAGTACCCCTGCCCCCTCCACCTGGAATGCCCCTCAACCGCGGCGGGTGGATGAGATGAATTTACAAACACATAGCTGCTGTTTGTGACTGAACCACAAAGTTTTCCTGTCATAAACTAAAAGAAGTGAGACTGGTCTCTCTTCAGTGCAGCTTCAGACAAGCAAATGACACGGTTGGAAGTAAACTTGAAATGACAAGTCAGGTCTGGGAACCATTGTTTGGAAAACCAGAAGAAATATTTCTGGGAAGTTTTTTTTTTTAAATATTTTGGAAAGATTTTGATATCTACAGGAAGCTACTTGTTGAGCCCTTCACTGAGAATGTACTGAGCGACAGCAGCACCCTGATTTCCTCCCAAAGTGTGTCAAACATCGCAAAGACATGTTTCATTTTATTTGGTTTTGTTTTAGGCTTCTTATCATTTAAATCATGATTTAAATGCCTCCTGTTGTTTCCCAGTTGCATTTATTTTTGCGTTCTGTTTCTCATTTTGTTCTGTCACATTGTGTCCAGTCTTTGGGGAAACGCAGTAGTCGAGGCTTTTGGAGTTTGTCGGCTCATAATCTGTTTTTGTTTTGGCATAACTTCAAAAATGCTGGCTTCACGTTGCAAAGAGTTCTGCGACTATTAAAAGTTTTATTTTCACATTTTGTCCTTGTTTTGTGGGATCTGTAAAATGTTCTTATTACACAAGCACTATCTCAAACCAAACGAGTATAGAAAAAAATTGCTCTTTCATGGCGATGCACTTGTCCACGTTTGAGTACAGATCCGATACAGAAAAAGACCCTCTGTCACTCAACGCCACACGTGCCATCAACTCATCGTGTTGCCATCAATCTGAGGACCTAAGCACCTCCACAGCAGATGGAGGCCCAGCAGGATGACAGCAGGCCCCGCCCGGACCCCCTGACCCACACAGAGAGCACAACTTCAGGGGCCCAGACTGGCCCTCCTGTGGATGCACCTCTGGATGAAGTCCTAATGTCTTCCATGATTAATTGGAGGTGAGCCTCTACTGTAAGACATCAGCTGGTTAAGATCTGAAATCAGAGGCATTTAGATTAAAATCCCCTTCTGTTGTGCTTTGTTTCCGCACTTTAGCCACATTTAGTTATTACATTCACTGTCAACTTAAGAGAAGCTCGTTGATAATTGGGGGGCGCGCACAACAAAACATTTGAGGATTGGGAGCCTCAATAGGCCCAAATGGCCAGAACCGGGCCTGGACCGAGCATGCCACTGTGACTGAACAGACGGACTTTGCTGCCCTCTGGCGGTGAAAGGATATCATTTGTACTTTTTACATTTTTTTTGTTTTTGTTTTGGCAAATGTAGAACTTGGATATAATACGCAGATAAATCAACTCATGTTTTTTTTCCTTTATTGAGCAAAAAAAAAAAGACATTCGTGTCACTGGAACTAGATTCGTGTTGCGTTTATTTAAAATGGAGCCCGAGAATAATCACCTTATGTCATTTTTATGGTCTCGTTTCGGTGAGTCTGACGTTTAAACTTCCCCAAGCTAAAGACAGCTAAAGTGCAGAGCGGTGTTGTGACGTGATTGGCCAACGCAAATGTTCACGCTCATGAGTGTTCGGACTGCAGGGTGAATCCTCACCAGCAGAGGGCGCCCCTCGTCTTCAAATAAAGACAATTGACAGCATCTTGAAGCAACTCGTTTATTTTCTTTCCCAGAGTTTTCTAAAAGTGGCCTAATTCATGTACATTTTACCTGATAATTGCTGATATATATATTTATTTTTATTTATTTTCATCAGTGGAGATTCATGAGAAACAGTTTACAGTCATGCCAGTTGCTACAAGATTGACGTTTGGACCAAAAATCCGACAGATTTGGACCGTGGGTTTTAGCATACAGGTGTAAAAAGGAGCATTAAAGAGAACAAATTTCAAGCAATAATAATAATAACAATAAAAAACGTAGTAGGGTACCAAATCGAAACATAACCGAGGAAAATGTGGCAAATTTCAAACTAAACGCCACTTCTTTTTTTTTAACATTTTTTTTTCTTTGCTTGTTTTAAGTATTCAAAATTGTACCATGGCTTTAAAGCAGTTCCTAGAAAAAAAGGACACTTTCAAATGAATACTTTGATTGCCTTTTTTTTTTTTTTACCGTTCAAAGGGACAGAAAGGTCGGAAAGGTGACTGGGACAAATGTCGCCAGAGAGCCCCTTCCATCCCTTCCATTACAGGTCGATTACAAATAATCAATTCATGAACCTGTTTTGCTCCCCCAGCCTCTATGTTAAACCTGGCAATAAATACAATGATCAAATTGCTCATACTGACATCAAGAAATACTCTTTTTTTTTTTTTTTACAAAGTTTCGTGGTGTAAAGACATCAAGGGGAAGACATACTTCTAAGATTGAAAAGGTAAAAGTAGAAAGAACTCGTGCACCTGCTGAATCCATGACAGAAAGAATCTAATTTAGAGATTTCCTTAAAATAATAAAAAAGCGTAGTGCGCCTACGGTTAGACCTTCAAACATCTTATTGCAGTTGGTAAGCTCCTGCGTGGATTCAGAAAATGCATTGCGCCGCAAACAGATGCCACAGCCGCAAGAAAACCATCCTGTCTTCATTTGCGCGCGCACACACACACGCACACACACACACACACACACACACACACCACACACACACGCACACACACACACAGACTCAGAGATGGGTGAAGGTAAAGCTCTCGCCCTCCCAACCTGAGAAAATGATTGTCTGACAAGCACACAGCATCCAAAGTTTTTAGCTTTTTTTGTTTGTTTGTTTGTTTTTTTCTTTTTTTTCACAAAGTCATAAAATCATCTGAAGAATCCGAATGGCCTCGGCACATTTTCAGAGGTTCAATTGAGAAGGTGTCATAAAGGTCAATCTGGAACAACGCCCCCCCCCACTCCTCCTCCCCCAAAAAAACAACAACAATAATAACAATAATAATAAAGGGTTAATACCAAAAGCAAACCCGGTTTGAAGGTCAGAGTATGAGTGTGCTTTCCAAACAGAAAAAAAAAAATCAACAAAAAACACATTTGCTCAAGTGGCCACGCTAGTGTACAAAACAGAGAAAACGTCAAATCAACACAAAGTAGTGCTATGGTTTCATACACATTATACACAAGTCAACAGAGATCCCTAGTCGTAATTATAGTCATAGACTCATGAATCACAGTGGGTTTCATTTAAGTTAACGTCTCAGAATGCTAATCCTAATTATACTCGTTGACCAGTAGGGTGTGGGAAGGTCCGTGAGACAGGAGTTAGTTGTTTTTTTTCTTTTCACATTTATTTATAGAGGGGTTACTACTAAAAGTTGTCTAAAAATTCGGCCACACAGTCGCCCTCTCAGCTCTGCTGCGTGTGGGAACAAAAGTGCCAAGATTCGCAAAAATGAGTCGCAAAATGAATATGGCATTGGAAATACGAGAAATAAGTACTTTTATTTATAGTTGCATAGATGTTGAAATAGTTTTGGAAATGCAAAGTTGTATTAAAGAAAATCTGGTCGAATTGATTTTTACTTTTTATTTTTTCCAGATCATGTGTTACATTTTGAATTCATTTTATTGCTCAAACGTGAAATAAATAAATATCAAAGCAGGTTCAGTTTCTATAACTAATTTAATAAACTACTGAATCATTTATGTAAATACTGAGGTTTGTTTTTGAAATGTATCTACCGTAGCTGAAGTTTTAAGCAGAAGTGAGCATTTATCGCATTGTATACCGTTTATCGCGATACATTTCGTATCACGATAAGAATTTTGATTTCGCGTTGTCACCATAAATTCCAATTGATGTTTGAAAATCACCCAAAACTGTAATTACTGTTGAGATTGTTAGCTTTACCATTTTCTCCACTGTTTGTTCAACATAAGAATCAATATATTTGAACATACCATTACCATGTGCAAGTTTGGTGATCTGGATCAATAAACAGCTTATTACAAGTGGGAATGTTATTCAGGAGCACTATTTGTTTCTGTGGGGGCTCTGTTTGCTGTGACACACAGTCACAACCACACCTGAAAAAAAAAAAAAAAAAGATGGAACATATAGTAACTTCTATTGTTATAGCAATTCTATTTTGCCCACCACTAATTCAGAGTATTTATTTGACAAATTATTTGTCGCATCGTGGCACTTTTGAGCCCCCGTAGCATGCGGGGTTGAGGCCTCGGCTCCTGCGGCTTCGTCGCGTCTGTGCTTGAAACCATGTTGCACCACCGGCTTGCGAGAGCGCCGCCACGCTCTCGCAGGAGGCCAGCAGAGCGGTGAGAGTGTTTGAGACTGACGGAAAGTGGGTCAACTAGCTGCCAGTGGTCACCTTCACCATCGATCGTGAGATGATTCTACTGTACATGTAAATATCAAGACGACGCAGTCCGTCCTGTAGCCGTCTCAGTCGGTCCCGAAAGAGGGCGTTTTCTGCAGGATGCGTGGAGTGATGGGTGGTGTCGGCAGGTTTGATGCGGTGGCGTTTCCCTTCCCTCCCCCCCTCAGGGTGGATGTAGGCGAGCCGGGTCGTTGGCGCGGTGCTACAGCGGGCCCTTGAACTGGTTCCCAGAGAGATGCTGCCTGATGGACATCTTTGATCCGGCGGCGTCGCCCAGTTTTCGCCACACCACCTGCACAAAACGGAGAGCAGCGATAAAACCTGAGAGGCGAAGAGGAGCGGCCGGGGTCGAGAAAATGACGCAAACACAACCGCTCTTCAAAAACCGCAAAAAAATAAATCCCGGTCTGTTTTCTGGACCACTGAAACACGCTGCGGGTGACTTTTCAGATAGATGAAGGAACTTGATTTGGGCGAATAATTCCTTACTATTGATGAAAAAAGTATTAGCTCCACTGTAACACCTCCCCGCAGGTTTGCGTCTCGGGAGATGAGGGTTCTCATCTGAAAGTTCTTCTTTGTTTCAATAATTCAAGTCAAGTTCCACTTTTCTGAATAGAACTTCTGAAATAAATGAGCTTTTTATTAGTGCACCTGTGCATGCTCAACTACTTTTCCTCTCTTCCAGCTTTGTGAGTGAGGTGGGAGCGGCGGCGGCGGTGACCTCCCCCCGGTAATGTTATTACAAAAGCACTATTGTGGTGTCCCCTCCCTCCCAGCAGCCCCCTCTGCCAGATTCCTAGCCTGCTGCATACCTCTGCAGGGCCCAGATAGCCTCTCTCATCGATGCACCTTTTATTCAGCACAAGGCCTTTACATCTCCAACAGAGAGAGAGAGAGAGAGAAAGAGAGAGAGATGGAGGGAGAGATGAAACAAGGAGAGTAAGACTAGATAGGCGAGAATGTGTGGTTGGAGGAGAGAGCTCTTCTCCCTGCTGATACAGTGGAATTGATTTGACAGCTCAACTGTGAGCTTCCACTGATGGCTTCGTTTCAGAGAAGACAAAAGAAAGGGGACAGAGGGGACAAAACAAGGCCGCTTGGGACGTTAGGACTGTAGCTCTGCTGTGGATGATGATGATGAAGAAGTAGTATCCGGGGTCTATGCAAGTCAAAACTGTGAGATGATGGGGCTAAATTGGCATTTAGTTCAAACGATCGGCCATAAAGTGAAGCTTTGTTTCTCACGTGGAAATTATGAGAATCCAGGTGAAACGCGCACAGGATCCACTGCATTGCACTTATGTCATTTTTTTTTAAAAAGTATTTTGAATCTGATGACGGAAATGTTTGAAAAAAAAATCCAAGCAGGTCAGAGAGGTCAGGTCAAAAGAAACTTCTGGAGATTTCTATCCAGGACAAAGAGGCGGGTTACGGTCCGGTGGACCCGCTTTCGATCCGAACATCTGTTCCATTGTGGCGAAAGCTGAAAATGTGTCAAACAATCCAAACTACTTGGAAAAGCTGTTCACATCCTCGCCTCCGGAGGCGCTGCGGCGAGAACTACCGAAGAAGAACTTCCTTCGTCATGAAACGTAAACAAAAATGGCGTGGTGTCCGATTGTAGTTGTAGGTAAAACACCATAAAATGAAAAAAATTCTCGAGCTTGCACTATACACACACGTTTGATTTGGTTGAATTTACCCAGAATACCCTGCGCCGTAGTCCACTTTCTACTTTTGGGGCTTTTGCTAATCGATCCGAGATCCGGGTTTGTGGTCGGACCGGGGTTCCCTTTTTTGGATCCGGATCAGAGTTTGAGTATGCATTCACACCAAACCTCCCAGGAAAACCAACCAGACTTTGAATAAAGCAGACTAAACCCGGCCGGTGTAGACAGACACAAAGTAACACTTTACATCATGACGCTGCTGGACTCACGTTGCACATTTCTCGCACGATGGCCTTCTCCTTCTCACTCAGATCGTCCTCGTAGTCCTCGGGAGCCTGCTTGTCCAAATTCTCGTGGACCTCTAGAACCTAACGGAGAGACAGGAGAAGGTCTGGTTTCATCGAGGCAAACAGCTTTAGTGAAAACAAAGGTTTGTGAGTTTGTGACATGAAGAAGGAGGCGTCTCCATGACTATGTTCTCATCAGTTCTAATTCTTGGATATTTTTTGGGGTCTAGTTTCTGGTGTAAATATCTTCGTACATTTGAAATACGACAAAACTGACTAACGAGAAACTTTTCAGTAAATAATTTCTTAATTTGGATGAAAAAGCACTAATTCCACTGGTAGATTATTTCACTTTATATCACTTATTGTTATAAGTGATATAATCTGCAAATAAAATTGGTGCTTTAGTTTTTGTTTTTTGAAAAGTTTCTTGTAGGTTAGTATTTGCCCTAGAGCAGACCAAATTGGTGAGACTTTGTGTTTTCGCGGCGTTAAAAGTAACCGACCTTCATGGCGTGCACCACCGCCTCGGGCTTCTGGACGCAGGACAGGTAGCCGGTGGCAGGAGACGACTCGCTGGTTGGCAGGCGGTTTGTGCCCTGCAGAAAGGCAACAACCGTACATCCGTGTGGTCAAACCGTCATGGTAAACCAAAACCCGGCGACGGCTAAAGCGGCCGCGAGTCTACACCCTAAACACTCGGGAGATTAAACCCCGCACTCCCTGGTGTGGAAGCATCAGTCAAAACAAACGAGGTTCACCACGCTCCTCTTTCCACCTAAATCAGTATGAGGCAAAAAAAATAATAAAAAATAGGGACACATTTACTGTGGCCAAAAACCTCATCCTCAAATCTCCTCTCTCCCTTGTCGGCTTTTTTTCCCCCCAGTTCAGTTCCCAGGTCTGCAACCTGCAGCGGCGTGATTTAACCTGCTGTGATGGGAGCGGTGAGCCAGGAAGGAGAAGACCGGGGTGTTTGTTTTACTCGTCTCACCCCACCTGCCCCCCCGGTTAGCTCCAGACAGTGGCTCTCTGTTTAGGGGACACGGAGCTCTCAGGGACGCACAATGGCGGCATTCAGCGTGACCTGGCATCGGGGCCCGGGCATCAGACGCAGCTCCACCGGCTCTGGACGCTGATGCGTTTTGTCAGCTCCCTCTGTGAACTCATTCTGATAGCGAATAATAGCCGCGAATTAATGGATTAATTCCACGTCGGACAAAGTGGGCACTGATTGTTTCGCTTGTTCGGATTGTTTCAGACAAGAAAAAATGGGGTTTGATTTGTTTTCTTTGCATAGACAAAGGTCGTTATCTCTGATTAGGCACGAAGCATCTTTGTTTTTGTTTTTTCTTAAGGCAAATTTTTTTGTTAAATTCTCCCAGATTCATAAGAACATACAAGACAAGATCACATGTCATGCCATAATTTATCTGATCTGAAGTTAGTTATTCGTTAAAAGTCGTGGAGGCTCAAACAGCGTTAGATCGGAGGTGTGGAGCTTGAGAGCACATCATCAGATCAGACAGGAAACGTGTTTGGGTTGGTCACGAATGCAGGTCGTTTCACCCCCACCCCACCTAATACACACACACGCGCGCGCACACACACACACACACACACTTTCTTTCTCGTCTCTAATCATTTTTAGTCTGACAACCTCCCGCCCTCACTCACTCACTCACTGACCTTAAACTGTGTGAAAGAGACAAAAGCCTAAGCACAATAAAAAGAAGAGTGGAAGGGATTCACAATGTCCGGTCTCTCCCGGATTTGTTCATTAAACTCCATGGATGGATAAACTCCTGCTAAATATGGGATCTAATTATGTCGCCTCTGTTTGTTCTGTCGTGATGTTGAAAGAAACAGTCGTAGGTTTGCACTGTTTCAGATGTTAGGCTTTGTAAATGTAAATTGTGTTGAGAAACAGGCGACTGACTGGTTTCCAGCTCGATCGGAAAGCAGAGGAGTGGAAAGTCAAAAGTCTGCTCATTTAAAGTCAGTGAACGCATCATTACCCGGCACTTCAGCTCAGAGCATCGGCACATTCAAAAACTGCTTCAGAGGACGCCCTGAAATGTAAGAAGCTACTAAAATAAAAATGGTATTTTCTACCAAATGTTAAGACTCGTCTGTGGTTAACTGACGCTGTCAAAGATTGAGAGAGAGCAAGACTTGTAACAGATAACAGGAAGGCTGGACGGAAAACAACAACGTAGCTGGATTTATGTTTTTGAGGTATCAGTCTCTCTCTATAGAGACACAGACTCCACAAGTATATCCAAGGTTATTTTTGCTATTGATTGTAATGCTAACCAAGTCTGCTAATCGCCAATGTAAAATGCTAAAGCCAGCCCCACACTCATCATTTTGTCCCCATATTTTTGTAATATCACGGAGATGAAAATCTTGACATAACCCAGTTTTGTCACCATCTCTCAACAACAACATAAAAAGAGAAGGTATTTTTTAAAAACTGAAAATTAGGCACAACATTACAGTCACTGTGTCAATTTGGTAAACATTTACAGGTGGACAGGCTAAAATTGTAGCCTGCAAGACACACTTATTAACCAGTGTTTACTGAATTTCTTGTTTTTGATTTAATTTTCTTATCCCCATTCCTGTGTGCTCCTGTAGAGCACTTTGAATTGTGTGTAAATCATGCCAGACAACTAAAATTGCCTCGCATAAAGATCCAGTCCTCTGGGCAGTGGCTTTCCTTCGAGTGGACTAAGAAAAACAATTACCAAGCCTTTCCTCCCCAGACACTCTCAGGGTCAAAGGTAGAGATGGATTGGAGAGGATTAGTACTTTCATCGTAGGACTCAGAACAAACAGGCTCCGGGGAGGCAAAGAAAAGCTCCAGGGCCGGGAGATGGGATCAAGAGAACGAGGGTCCAGACTCCCGGTAGGTTCCTTTTATTGCCTCTTTGTCTCTTTCCCAGTTTGTCTCCACCAAACTGTGACCCATCCCCTGTCATCCCACCGATCGAGTTCATGAGTAACACGGAGCAAGGTTGCCTGCGGGGGCGTAATTGAAGAGCTTGCAGGAAACTGAATTAAAGCTAACCTGATTTGATTTCACATTTGCAGGCACCAGTGTCCTCCTCCCAACAATTAGGCGTGTCTGAGTTTATTTTCGTACCAAGTGAAACCCGGGAGTGAAAGCGCACTTGAACAGAAAAGGCAGTCTGGCAGCGGCAGCCTGTCGTTACAGCGTCTGCCTGAGCAGGTGAGTGTGTGTCGGTCTCTCTCGGCGCGTGTCTCCCGGTACTGACCATGTGCATGGCCTCCTGGCGCTGGGGCAGCGAGGACAGCTGGGACTCGGAGTGGTACAGAGTCATTCCCTTCCTCAGGGCTCGGAGGTCACCTGGGTTGCACTGCTGGGCACGAAAAGGACACAAACACACACACACGCCACAAAACAACAGGAAAGATAAAAGACGTCAATGCAGAGAAACAGAAGTTAGCATGAAGCCAAAGTGTGATGCACCAAAGTAATTAACTTGGGAGGGTAGAGGAAAGTGGGAATAACATTCAATTATTTGCAGTGATGCACTATTGAGAATAACGCCAAATTTTGATCTCTGACTTTTGAAACGCTTTGAGAAATAATTAAGTGTAGAGAAGCGCGGATCAAGTGGTCAGAGATCAGGATGGCCAGTTTGTCCATAATGATTATTGGCTGGTCAAGTACGAAAGTGTGTAATATTTTTTCCTCTCATCATTGAATGCATCAGAAATGAGAACTCACGTTATTTTTGCTATGTGAAAAATAACAGGCAAAAATTTTTGCTATATAAAATTTTTGGGGGGGGTGAAATTTACAAAAAAAATTGTTCCAAACCTCCGGGATCGGACACATGAACGGTAACAAATCTCGTATTTTTCGCATGTTCCTGTTGGATTCAAACTACTTCCTCTATCCAATAACCTGCTGCACATTTATCAATCTTCAGAATGTAAAATTGGAATCTGTCACAATCAGGATCTGCAGTTCAGACCTCAGAAAGCAGAGAAAAACAGAAACTGGCGGCGATTGTGCAAATGCTTTCTTCCCAACTTAGCGGCCACGATGGATCACAAATTGGCCATTTAAAGTGTGTAGTACACTTTTAAGCAAAAATTTTGTCTCAAGAGATACAAATAAGTTTGTGGGAAAAAAAAACAAACAAAAAAAACATCCTACTGCAAATGTCAAAGAAACAAGGGGGAAATTCCTGCAAAGATCTGACGCAGAACCTTCCCGAAGTTTTCAGCTTTTTGTCATTTGTCCCGTTTCTGAAATGCATCTTCCATTAAAGAACCTGGAACAAACTACATCTTTTGACAGACTGCTGGTTACAAAGTGCTTATCTCGAGTTTCAAAAGCTTTGTTCTTCCTGTGTGAATGGCTCGCTGGCGAGAGTTAAGACACTCAATAGCAAATATAACAAAATGAATTCTCTTAACGTGGCCTGGACTAAATGAGTGGAAAAAACAATAAAAAAAAAAAAAAAGAAAAATACAAAAAAAAAAACTCAGAAATGCCAGAAGGCCTGGAAAACAACTCACCAAATCAAAAGGACTACAGAAACTAATCCGAGGTTAAATTAAAAAGACCAAAAAACAAAGTGAGGACTGAATCAGTTGGTACCCCGATTTTATTCCGACGAGTTGCCAATTCAGTGTCATGGCGTATCAAAATAAAACCTCACTATAGTTAAGCATTTTGATGAATTATAGAGGTAATTATTACAATCCAGTTAAATCAAACACAAACACATGCTATTTTTCAACATGTTGCACACTTGATATGTGGAGCATGGATCTTCACTTGATTATGAGATTATGACACCTGATCAAACCAAAGCAACCTCTTTCTGGGAGATGTTACACTTTTAAATGTCACAACCACATTTTCTTACAGCATGATGTTAAAAAAAACAACAACAACAAACTATTTTGGATAACTGGCAGTTTAAGATGTTACAAAGCCTCCTGGTTTGATGAATGACTGGTACAAAATGCTTGAACAGCCCAAAGCACAACCTGGACTTTTAATGTGAAGGTACAAACTGGAAAGGGGAAAATTTCCAGCACCTACTTTAAGACTTTTAAATATAATACATTATCCAAACAAATTAAATGAACAGTGTGATGTGTTCGTAATCTAACAATCCTAATACTGACGCATCCAAACCTTAACCTCAGTCCTCAAAAACTAGCTGTAAAAGACCACAACCATTTTTGGAACTTTGTGATCTCCCTTCCACCTCTGCTCTATTCATCAGCTTGATATCAGCTGCTCCCTGCGTTAATCACACTTCCCCACACTGAGGGCTGGACCACTTTGTGTCCTTGTTCACAGTCACAATGCACAATAGAGGAGCGCTCTTAAGATTTTGTCCTCATTAGCGTCCGTTCCTGTTGGGCGCAAACCAGCCCAGCTTGGCGCTCTTGGCAGGATCACGGCTCTGTGACATTTTGAATGTCACACACGGCTGTTTCTCCCCTCTCCCGTTTGTGAGGCGTGTTTTCTTTTGCTTTTTTCAAATCACACGAGAGGGCCGGGGGCTACAAAGCTTTTTTTTAAAAAAAAATCTTTTATCACTGTTCAAGCAAAACACTCAGGTGCGCGCTCACTTAAGCTTTTCGTGCGTAAACCTGTAATCGGCATTCCATACCTCTTCCCTGCTCCGTGGCATTTCTCTAACCTTTCCTAATCTTTCCCTTGGCACTGCTTGATCTACCCTTTGTGGCTTTTTGTATTCAAGCCCGCAATGTTTCACTCCGGGCTCCGTCAAGAGCCTCGAAATGTCAGATGAAGAAAAGCGATAAACACGTGTTACATGAAATCAAACACTTCATCTAAATCTAACTGGTAAGAAAGAAAAGCGGCATTCCACTGGAATTTTTTAAACCAACCCAGCAGATGGATCTGGCTTTACTTTCAAGCACGTTCTGATTTAGGCCAATAAAGATATTCGACAGCAGAGGATAAATAAATCTTAGGGTCTTTCTTCACTCCATCCATCCATCACCGTGCTCTTGGAGGTGACAGGCTGAAGCAGAGAGCATCGGCCATCGATTACCCCTTTGAGTTGCGAAGGGCAGGAGTGACGCGGAAAGGACACAGACGAGAAAGATTCGATTTTTTTTTTCAACCGTCTATGACTAATGAGAAGCTCAACTTAAATGAAGCAGAGTGTGGCAAAACCCAAAAGCACTGGGATGCGCTACTTACAGGAAGAAACGTGCTTGAATCTGTGAAAAAAATCAGGAATCAGCTGAGGTGAGTTTTGCAGACATGGAAACTAACCCAAACCCTAAAATTGCAACAAAAAAAGAGGTACTTTTTCGTCAAAACAGAATAACAGTCAAAGAAAACCACAAACAGAGTTTCACCGTCGTAGTTTGAGAAATATAAGCAAGTTTTTCTGACAAAGACTTCCTCAACAGTCCCTGTGATATCTCTCTGTAACTCCGGTCTGGATGGCCAACATTCTTGAAATAAGAGGCTATTGTTCCGTTTTAGCTGCACTCAAGTTTTAATGGACCTGCTCCACTGTTCAGGAAGTCAACAAATCCAACTCAGCATTTCCAGCTGTTCATCAAGACGACAAAAGGTCCAGATAGCCACCCCTCTTTCAAAGAAGTCTCCCTCTTTTAAATCGCACGAGGCTCTTATCTTCGAACGGACATTTTTCTGTTATTCAGTTACACTCACACCAGTTGTCAACCATGCATAATGCATACACAGATCCACCTGCGTTGCCCCCGTACGTTAAATAATTCAGCCCACCAGACGTCTCAACAAGCAAGAACAAGCCAGTGTGGTTTATGCACCAAGGCACGATGTAGCGTTGGTTAGCCTGGGGTCCACAGTACAGAGCAGAGCAGATCCAGGGACAGATAAAGGTTTTTCTACCTATTAAAAGCCACATATGTACCGCAGGCCCGCCGCTATGAGTCATGAGCGCAACATGTGAGAGACACATAGAGAGGACTGTGGAATTAGCACCCACACCTCCAAACTGTGCATAGTGTTCTTGGGCGACAGAGATTGATGTTGATAGGTTTTTTTTGTCCTTCTGCTACACTGTAAAAACAAAACAAGTTATCGAGTAATCTTGGTTCAGTTTCTCATGCAAGTATTTGACACTTGACATAAAGAAAAAACTGACTTAAAAGTAACTTTCATGCCAGATATCAGTTTAAGTCAATAATTCCTTAATAATGATGGTAGAAGTAGTTAATTTCACTTAGAAGAAAAATGTCTGCCAGTGAATCTAGCACTTTTTCCATCAATATTAAGGAATTATTGACTATACATCAATTGTATATTTCTTGTTGAAAAGTTATTTGTAAGGTAGTTTTGTCTTATTTTTGAACCCTCATTCTTGCATTTGTCTGCTAGAGGACGTGATACAGTCCTCTAGCAGACAGAGGTCTACATCTCCACTGCAGGAAAATAACTTTGCACAGCTAAGGGGAGTTAAAGAATGACGGTGCCAAGCCAGAGATCCAGTGGCAACCACACGCAAAAATCACGGGCAGCGCTTCAGAAAAAGACAAACTGCATGCGACGCCAACTCCTTACAGTAATCTGCTGAGGTGTGGTTGCTTGTCTTTATTCCAAGAAATATAAGCACCGAGACGCACGGAACAGGAAAAAAACATTTTCTTTGGCTGACGTCCTGCTTTGTTTTGCAGATTTCAGGGAGGCTCTTCGACGGGGTTTGCTCCGTTCCACAACCCTCCATTTCAGCCGAGAAAAAAAAAAAGTTGGAAATTTGCATTTATAGAATGAGTCAAATGGATTTCCTCCACCACGTTATTAAACGAAACCGGTTTTACACGCTGCGCGATGACAGACGAAGTGCTGTGAGCAACTGATGAATCACACGAACACTGTATCTTTGTCAGGGATGGGGTTTTGTTGTTCTGTTGAGCGAATCATTATGTGGTGTAGATGACCTCTGCAAACGTCATCTAGCAGATCAATAAGAGGCCAAAAAAAAAGAAAAAAAAAAGGAAACACTAAAAGAAAATGAGTGAGGCCGTGGCTGACTAGGGGAAGAATGAATAAAGTACTGCCATCTGTTGCAGTACTTTATTCAAGCTAAAAGCTGCGAAAAGTCCCATCACCAAAACGTTTGCGGGAGTTAAAGGAAAGAAGCCCCAAAGAGTTGGTGAGCGGCAGAGCCAACATTCAGGAAGATTTCAGAAGGTTACCTTTTTCATCTGTATCTGTGATAAGCTATAGCGGTTATGGGCCTAGAGAGAGAAAACACAACGTGAAAAGATTTATTGCGTCATCAGTTTCTGGTTGCGTAATGAAATCACCTTGTGCCACATTTTGCCACGCTACACAACTACAGACTTCACTGTATTTCCTGAGGGTTTCACATGATAAACCAACAGATTGTGAAAATTGATTCTGAAATTTGTTTGTTTTTTCCCACTAACTGATATAAAGACAAAGGACATTTTCAATAGCAGGGCTCCATGGGACTAGGCAAACAAAAAAACTGCCATATAATTGTTGAAAATTGTGACGGAGTTACTGATTATGGTTGCTTTGCTTAATTTATAACAATATCCCGGCAACTTTCTGTGGGGTTTTGCATTTTTCAGCTGAGGTCAGTGATCTTCAAAGGCGATATAGCAATTTCAATTTTATATATCATGCATGGTGGTGACGACATCATCATGCTGCGGGGCCGGGTTTTTTTTCTTCCTCCAACTAAGACAGGAATCATTTATTGGAAGCTACAAAGACACTAAAGATTGGGCTGGAGGTTCGCCCTTCAGCAGACAGTAGCACTGAAAATATTGCCATGCAGTTTTAGCTTAAAACATATCTGTGTTAAAATGTGGCCTAATCAAAGTCAAAACCTGAAGGTAATAGAAAATCTGTAGGGCTGCAAAATCTCTCCCTTCGATCTCATTGAGTTCGAGATGTTTTGCAAGGAAGAAGAGACAGAAATGTCACTTTGTAGCTCCGCAAAGCTCCTCGAGTTATGCTAGCATGCGAAATGTGTTTCTCTTTTTAAAGCTTCCAATTGTGTCTCAGTTGGCAACTTTCTACTCTTCTGTGTTGGGCAATCTCATGAAATCTCACTAAAACGCTTTCGGGTTTTGCGTGGAAAGGTTCCACGGCTCTGAGCGAGTCACTCGCCGAATGCCAGCTTAAAAAAAAAAAAAAAAAAAAGAGGAGCCGCCAATTATTCCTTCTTTCTGCCTTACGTGGAACATCTAACACTTAGCAGCTAATTGTGGGGCTCATTTGGCAACGGCGAATCCGGCCTGCGCAGGAATCCGCTGGGTCGTCACTACTGAGAGAGGACTTGGTGTAAAAAAGAAAAGAAAAAAAGTAGTGAAAGGGTTTTCAGGATGGAAAATCCAACCTCAGCTTGATTGTCTGCAGTCTGGCTGGCATTCGAACGAGCTCCCGCACATCATAAAACCTTATGATGAAATGATAATGCTGCCCTCTATCTTTTAATGACATCTACCCCAATAATTAATGATTGTCCTTTGAATGCTGCAAACTTTCATCGCCCGTCCTGTAGGGCTAATTAGTGCCTGGGTTTTTAGTGCAGTGTGGATAAACACACTCCTCTGGAGATTGACATGTGACCTCCTGGTGAACCACACCGCTGTTACCCCCCCATCCCTTCCACCTCCTCAGTCTTTCATGCTCCACACATTTAATCCTCTGAATTTTTTCTAGGGGGGGAGTCACGACGAGGTCAACTTTGGGGGGGAGAAAGATGGGGCGGATATAGTTTTACTCAGACACTGTCACTTAAAGCTTTCCCCTCTTCCTTTTTTTCACTTCTTCCTCTCATCTTTCTTCCGCTTCCCCGGCTTCTGTAACAGCTGGGGCTAAGATCACTACTCGCAACTGCAGATTACAGGCTCCCTATGAATTAAACATGGGTACACATATTCTGTAGCTAACAAGCCTTGGCCCGATGCCTCTGCAAACGTATTCGCAGAGGCATCGGGCGAGCGCGTTATGTCACAGATTGCGCGTTTTCGGCAGAGTTTTGGTGAAATCCTGACGGGGTGTGTAGGGGAAATGTTGCGTGTTTGCGTCTCACCTGAGAGAGGAGCTTATTGTTGTCGTCCTCCAGTATCCGGACCTTTGTCTCCAACTGCCTGATGTAGTTGGAGGAGGAATCTGAAAAGGAGACGGAGGAGAAGCGATTAGCATTTCAAAGACCTGGAGCGGAAAATAATAAAAAAAACAAGAGGCAGACATGCGGGCCAGTGGGGCAGAAATAGGTTGATGCGCAAATAAGACTTAAAAAAAGAAAACAACAGCAAGAAAAGTCTTTATGCAAGAGTGATCTCTAAATGGTTCAGTCTAAGATAAAAAAATAAATAAAAAAATAAAAAACGCAGAGCTGACCTTTTAGTTTCAAAATAGCTCAACCTGAATTATACAGACTTTGACTTTTCCCCCAGTCACTTAGCCAGCTTAAAAAGGGCTAATTAACATTTTCTGCTTTTGAAATATTATGTACCGTCATCTCATCGGAACCAATGCAGCATCAACACTGACTCCAAACTAAGGTGAGTGGATCTTATGAACCGTTTGTTCCAGCTCTTATTTTATATCATAACTAAATTTCGTTCTATGGTGCAGTATCAACAAATTATCATATGCTGTATCTTTAATTTACATTTAAAATACATAAGAATCTAGAAAAACACCTAGTATACATACTAATTCTACACTAAGAGCTTTTATGAGGAGTCAATTGTGATATATTATTGCTTGTGGTGGGACTTGATTACGGATTTTAAATCAAGTTAATTGCACGGTCTGCAATGAATCACAATTAATCATGCAATGACAAAATAAACATTGTTGAATAAATAGACAAATGACAAACATAGATATTGTGTTAAATCCGTTGGTTACGTTATTGAACCATTAGATTGGTGTAAAGTGCTATTCAGTTCAAAAACACTTCAATATAGGCAAAGGAAAGTAAAATTTTCATGGCACTGATCTCCTCTCCGTGTGGCTGGCAAAAAAAGCGATCCAATCAGTACCCTCAAAACAGCCTTTTTGGCCTTTTCAGCTTCCTGCAACCACTTCCTTACAGTCCAGGTTGTTATACCCATACAACTTTCAAGGGTTTCAGGAACCCCTGATCAGTATTTGTAACCCATGTTTATTTCTATTAGCCATTAGTTACGCGTTTTTGGAGGAGAAGGGGAGGGAAGAGGACTGGCCTTTGGGATTTGTTTGTTGACAGGATAATGATGCTGCTGATAATGATGGAGTTTAACTTAAGAGAAGCATAACCGGTGGTGCAGTTATGTTTTATGGTGTTGAAAGGGTGGGGAAATAATACTTGAAAACATTGCTTAACATTGGGCAAAATTTCAATATCACTGGATTTTCATATTGGTGCATTCCTACTTCTCACTCATTGCGCAAAAATGAACAAGAAGGAAAAAGAAAGGTCAAGTTTTCTCAAACAAAACTACATCAAACCTCTCATTAAACATTTTTTTTTCTGTTTTTGTACTCATTCTGTCTTTCAACACTTTAAAAAAAACTATTCAAGTTGAAAAAGCTTTAATGTCTTTTTGCAGCTGTTAGCCATTTGTTGCACAGTCTAAGAGCCAAATGAACTTAATACAGGCCGACATGAACATTTGCTCTTTTTTTCTTTTTCTGCTGAACCAGAGCCTTTGAGTGGCTCAGTGCCTTTTGTACTGCTTGTTAAGTATCAAAAAGACAGAATTATCTCACAACCGGGGTCCTCCTTACGTAGCAGCACTCTGTGCTCACCTGGATCAGGTTTACTGAGTTCAAGATGAAGGATACGAGCCGCGTGAAGGAGAGGTGCGGTTTGACTCGGCAGGTGGCTCAGAGCCCAGCATCTAAAAGGCTTCCTTAATTTATTAAGATAAAAGCTGAGTTACGAGGAGGCGCACACTTTGGCAACCCATACTCACACACACACGCACACACCCACGCGCTCACACACACACACACACACACACACACACACACACACACACACACACACACACACAGCTCAATTTCACTCTGTTTACGAAGCCGGACTGTAATGGGATAGAGAGAGGGCACACTGATGCCACAAAGCTGGGGTGAAAGGTCACTGATGACAAATGTTATCCATCAGTGAGGTGAGATAGATATTATATGCCAAGGATGAGTCAGAATTATTACGGTTTTATTTTCCTATTGGAAGCAGGCGTGCACCGATTTATCGGCCAGCCGACTTATTCCCGCCGATTTCCTTAATTTTGAGAGCTCAGTGATCTGATACTTACATGTGAAGCCGATCTTATCGACCTTGGCAAAGGTCTAAAAATCAATCACTATTGGATCGACCAAAATTGTTCGGCAGGTGAGGGTTTCTAAAGATCAGTACTCAACAATTGGTGCACCCCTAATGTGGAAGAAATGCAATGCGGTTGTCTCAAAATCTTACGACAAAATGAACTGCTGTGGTTAAAAGTCCTTTGAGGTTGATTACGTAGTGACTGAAATTCTTGACAATTTTACACGTCTACTTCCAATAGGAAAATAAAACCGTTCACAATTCTTAATTCAGTCAGACTGAATTGAGAAAGTCCATCTTCAAAACCTCTGGTTCTCAAATACATTTGGTCCACACTTTGACTAGGCCATTCTCATCCATTCAATTTTACTCCTGAAATTGTTGCATCTCCAGAGTCTCTAACGTGGGTTTCTTTCAGTACGTAGTGCTATCCATCTTAGAGTGAGCTCCATCGTCCATTTTCAAGAAAAGCATTATGCTGCCATAATGTATCAGGCAGATTTTTGGAGTACCTCTTTAATAGTTATCCAAGGGGTTGAATAAAAATTAATGCCACCACTTTCAGTACGTAATAAAAATGTTTTAAGTGAATGTGTCGTGTTACTATCCACTATTTTTTGTTTGATGCATCACTCTAAAAACACATTAAACTTCGCGGCTGCGACGTGACAAATACATGAACAAAAGTTCAAGGGCAGCGAATCCTTTTGCGAGTCAAAGCAGAAAACCTTCGGCTTTTCACAGAGAGTCAGTGCAGCTTGGCAACCAGCGGCTGGACACCTACAGCAGGAGGTTAGACTGCCCAGAGCTGGTAATCCTCTCTAACTGCCTTGTGACCCTCTAATCTGCAGTCATCTGCTGGCCTGACCTGCAGCCAGATCTCAAGCCGATTAGGACGGAGGCTCCTCGGTCTCCAGTCATCACCAGCACGCTCACACAACCACAGGGGACGACTCCGAAAGACGGAGGAAGGAGGGAGGGATAAACACACTAAATAGAGTAGTTAAATACCACTTATTCTTTAAGTTATGGAATCAAACAAAAAAAGAAAAGTGAATGTACTTTTGTTTCACAGAGTAATGAAATGTGTGAGAGTGTTGTTTTTTTAAATTAGCAGAATCAGCCTTGCTTTTCTACCCCAGAGGCAAATGATTTTTTTTTCAGATGGTACTTACAGAAAATATTCAGAAACTGCAAAACATAGCCTAATACAAAATACACTCATTTTTGCAGCTATCATAATGTTATTGATTGAATTTCTTTCATGACTATTTAGACATGAAAGATGAGTAAAGAAAAAAAAACTGAATTTAACAGTTTTAATTAACAGTATGTCTTGTAGAATATTCCAAATCTGTTTTTTGTAGAGGAACCCAAATACAGCAGGCCTGTATCAACCGGTTAATTAGTGGGGTTAAGTGACGTACAGCAAGCTACGAGTGACATTAGCTCTGTCCGTAGCTTGTAGCTTGCTAACACCAATGCTAAAAACATTTCAAGGTTGATAGGTGGCCAACCTGTTCAATCCTAGCTTGATCTTTGCCTCTCAAATTTGTGTATTTTGTAAGAAAGGTGAGTGGAAGCCTTCATTTAGAGCACTGCTAGCTAGTTAGCTAAATGAAGTGCGCTGATAGCTAGTTAGCTAAATGATGTGCACTGCTAGCTAGTTAGCTAAATGAAGTGCGCTGATAGCTAGTTAGCTAAATGATGTGCACTTCTAGCTAGTTAGCTAAATGATGTGCACTGCTAGCTAGTTAGCTAAATAAAGTGCACTGATAGCTAGTTAGCTAAATGATGTGCACTGCTAGCTAGTTAGCTAAATGATGTGCACTGCTAGCCAGCTACAGTCACAGCAGGGGGGGAGAAGCAGGGCTGAATTCTTTATGTTGAAAATAAGTCGGAGGGGGCGGGGGAACTCCTGTTTCTCCAGCGCTTTTGCTAGCATCTCATTTGAAGCTACATTATGAACAATTTAGGCTAGCTTGATACCATTAACTGGCCCATGACTAAGCTCTGCACCTGCAAAACTCCCCTCAGCATCAATATATAGAGTCCAGAGGAAAACTCGCCATCTTTATAGTTGGAGTGATCGTTGTGCCATTTCAACATGAGCATGCGGGAGAGTCCAACTCTTCCCAAAACACAGACACAGCTGCAGGGAGAATGCAACATCCCACCAGTCTTTAACACCAGGGCTCCAGAGTCATCCTGAAGGAAGAAGGGTGAGGGAGGAAATGAAACGGTTCCCATCGTCACTCCTTCTCCCTCAAGCATCGCACCTTTTCCCTCTCAACAACTCCACAGGAACGGCTTCTGATCTTACCAGAGCTGCACTGTTGAGATAAAATGCTTATCTTATCCTGCTTGCACTGGTTTGTACAACCCAACACTAAGTGTAATGTTACTTCAAGTCTGGTTTAAGCTCAATGTAGTACTATGTGCTGCCGAAAGGATTAGAAAAAGATGCAGAATATGCTCAGATTAGTAGTGAACAGTCTGCAGACTTTGAGACGTGTGTGTGTGTGTGTGTGTGTGTGTGTGTGTGTGTGTGTGTGTGTGTGTGTGTGTGTGTGTGAGTATTGGACAAGGTGAGGCACAGAGTGGCGCAAGTCCACGCGCCTTTCAGCACGTCACTCTGGATCGCGTCACTGCCACTGTGACCCACTTCCACTGGCCACTCCCTCCTTAACTCTGCCCCACTCCTCATTTCCCCCTGATATATTTCCATTTTTACTACATCCTTTTATTATTCCTGCTCCAACCATCGAAACAGTTTTGTTTGATTATTTCCAGGCAGTCATTTCGGGAAGTAAAACCAAACAAGGACAGTTCAGCCCAAAGAAATCCAAGC